GCCGTGATCGCTGCTGCAGCGCGGAGGGTTGCGGAGTGCTGGCGCAGTGGGTACCCCTGCACGCTGTGTCTTGTTCGAATCTCATCGAGACGGGCGGGTATGCCGAGTCGCGCGAGATTCCTCTTCGAGTGACTCAAACCGAGGTACTCAACACCTGACCCGATCACCTTCTCTACGCACTACTCACTCTCTCCAAGTCGCGCGTACACTTTCTCGATTTTCTTTTATTCGCGATCGTTTCGTTTCTCTTCGACACTGCCAAGGTATCGTTCGTTTCTGTCCAGTGATCGTCTAGTTTCACCGCGCTCTTCGTCACTGATACGCGTCACCGATCCATGCACCCGCGTCCACGTCGTTCGACTGCCTCTCGGACATGTTTCGTCGCTCCGAATCGCTCAGGAACACGATCCGGAATCCTCGCTGCGTTTTTCGTCCTCTCGACGCTCCCGTCGCGATCTCTCGTTCTCCTCGAGATCCGTCGCGAGACGTACGCTCGACATCGTACGTCCCGCTACGTGCACCCGGCGACGAGAACCTTCTCGCCCCCGGAACACCACTTTCTTTCCCGGTTGTCCACGATCAATCCCGCGAACGCAACACCGGATCAACCACGATAACCACACTTTCCATCAAACGGACACACTGGCAGCCGAAGCAGTCGTTGGCCACGTTTCGAGACGCACCGTACGCTCGTCGCTTAGTATCCGGACGTTCACTGTCACTGGTGCACTGGGTCCCACGAGTCAGTTCCTCCGTGCACGCGCACCTCGCTTCTGGATTGATTCGGCAAACGGCGCGACGCGACGCGACGCGACCAAACGCGAGAAGCGAAACGAGGCGAGCACGCGAGGGAAAGCTGGAGGAGCGGGCGCGGGCAACGCGGTCGAGCGAGCACCGGTGGAACGGAGTCCGACGGCAGAACGACGACGCACGGGCCGAGAACAGTTCGAACGCGCGATATCCGCNNAAAAGCAGGCGACAAAAAGACGAGAGAGAGGAGAGGTGGCTCTGTACGGCTCGGCTCCGCTCTGCTCTGCTCTGCTCCGCTATGCTCTGCTCCGATCTGCTCTGCCGTGAACCTCGGCCAGGGCTGGAGAGCGGACGAAAGGTGTTACTTGGGTGGCGCCGCGATGGTCACTGAGCAGCGCTAGGATTGACACCTCCTCTGGGGGCTCACCCCCACACCTCCCGCGGAGGTGTTGGTGTGCTAAAGTCCTCGTCCGGATTCAGGGCGTGTGTACGCGCGTCTACGTGTACGGTAACGGCCGC